TGGGGGTATTTGACGGACCTGTAAATTATAGTTACTATTAAAAAATGGTTAAATAAACAACTGGGTATTATTATTGGAAGTCTCCTGCAGAGAAGCAGGGCTTTCCCGGTCGAAAAGTATTGATTTTTAAGAATTGTATACCATTTCTACGAAAAGTTTTTTTTCCCATATAAAATCTATGGAAAACTTTGAGCGCTTTGAAAGACCTCTAAAAATAAGTAAACCTAGGGAGTGAGAGCATTAAAATTCCAACTTTACTTTTTCCTCTTGCATTTTTTGGACCACCCTAATGTACACTTTTGAGTTGCACACTCGCAATGTGTATAGGTGCATCCACGTTATGACAGGTATGCACGCATACTACATCTGTACATTTGTAAGTCTGTAAATATTTTGGTAGTTTTCGAGGCATGTCTAACGAATGATTAATTTTCCGAAAATGCTATTTTCCTTTCGTGATTTTCCTCGTAGTTATGATTTGTTTGCGCATTGTTTAAATTTTAAAGGAATGACTAACCTGGCGCTCTTTCCTAGACAAATTAGCTACGTTGAAGGGTTCGAGCATTGAAATTCGTTGGTAGGCGTTATTGCCTGAAATTAGTCATTAAACATCAGATAACGTTGGGAGAAAGGTGAATGTGAGAAAGTCACTCAGAGTCAGAGTATTTTAAAGGCAGTTAAACAACTCAAAAAGGGTCCATGTCCATGTAATTAGTAACGCGGTATATTTCATTGGTTGGGCTGTCTGTATGCATGAGACTCTAATAGTTCATTTCCACCAAGCCTTAACTGCAGTTTATGTATGCCTATTCGAAAAAGGACATTAAAACTCGATTGGTATAATTGCTCATATTACGAGTAAGTGCATGCAAACGAAGGTTAAAAAGCAAATTGTAAGAAATAAGCCTTTCCGTTTACCCCATGTAAAAATTTTTGGAACCTTCCTGAGCTCTCAACTGCAATTAAGCTTTTGGTGGAAATGGGCTATAAATGGCTAATTAGTTTTGACGATATTTAAGCTGTGTCTTTAATACACAGAGTACTGTTTATCACTCGCTACATATGCAGCGCTGAAGTCGAAAAATCGTAAAGAAAGATGTGTAAAACTCTTTTTTTTACATCCAAAAGCATTAAATTAGAAGTATAAAGGTATGTTTCCACGACCAATGCTAGGTAACTTAAACGCTTTTTTAAACAGAATTATGGACTGGTCAGAATGAATCCAACTGATGGAATGCGTATAATATAGAGGGACGCCACAGTGAAACCTTTAGTGTAAACAAAGTCGCAAATTTTTCCGAATCCGAAGATTGCTTTCCTCATTTCGTTTTACAGCAGCCTACTCTATAGCTTAAAGCTGGTATTGTCTTTTTATGGTGCTTTTTTTTTAAACACATCAAATGAATGTTCAATGGTCAACAATGACCGCTATTCGTATCTTTTTTCCACTAACCAAGCATCAAGTATCATCATCGTTTCTTATTTTAAAATAGTGACAACATTGGCATTTCGACATGCATTTCTCGTTACAGCGATTGCATCTATTAAATGCAGAAGAAGCGAAATTCACATACATAATTGCACAAATGGCCAATACTCAAACTTCTTGGGTGGAAGAAAGAATTGGCTTACGACCCACTACCGGCTAAATGGCAAACCGGTAAAGTGGAAGATCGACCATCGAACGGTTGGCTATCGACACTCTTGTGTGACACATTGCAATCCAGAGTCAATGCGCATGCAGAGAGAAGCAGCAGCGTATGAAGCTAAGCATCTACTATACACAGATGCACTTATTTCTGTTGGCAGCGGAGTATGTGGTCAGTGTTGTAAAATGTCCGAAATGATAGTAGCAGTGGCGCAGGGGACAAAAATAAATGAAGCACTTAGCAGAAAAAGTATTAAAAAATTATAAGGTACTAGGTGCTTCACCGCGCCTAAAAAGTATTTTAGTCCTGTTTGATACCCGTATTGTGATATTTCATGTTTTTTTTTTTTATTTAACTTAATATAATTTTTCAAACATGTGGCAACCCTCTTCAAAAATATTTTCAGCAGTAAACTTTCCTAAACCTCTTCAGTTAATAGTTAAATTAATTAAATTAAATAAAAAATTTCGAGCAGGTGGCAACCTTCAACAAAAATATTTTTTTTTCGCTGTAAGCTTTTTAAACCCCTTTCGTTTGGCAGCCATATTGCAATATTTACTTTAGCTAATAAATTTACTTAAACTTAAATTTTTAAACAGGTGGCAACTTTAAATTTTTTTTTTCATTTCATTCATTTTAAGTTAGACATCTAGTAATACATCGATGAAAACTGTAATTAACTAAATGTATTAGTTTTTGAGTGATGCGCGCACAAACATTCAGACAGACAGACAAAAATCGTTGATTTGGCTTCAGTTGCTCTAATAAAGACCACCATATCAATTTTTCTTTGATCCCTGTAATGTGCAGACATTGGCCTGTTAAAATTTATTACGGATGAGTAATTGGAGGGTTTACATAAACTAGTGCATCTATTTATAGCAGCAGTCATTGCTCCAAGTTGGCCTAACTGTGAATTCCTTCAGAAAAGCTTTGGTCTGGTATGTGGCCTACTCATAGGAAATGAAATATCGAATGCCCCAAGTAGTATCTTTGACCAACGGTTAATCGCTCGATCAATATTGGCATTTTCTCGTATAATTTCAACTCTGTAGTAGGGCTATACTAGTTTGTAGAATGCTATTATAGAAAACCTTTTCAAATTCATATTCCTAGCATTCCTAGCCGGCTTTAAAAATTCCTAATTCGGACCTTTGACCGATTTCCTTTATTACATGTAACTAAGTCAGTAGAAATGACAAAATCAAAGGTGGACTCGCCCTTTGCGCTGGTATCGGAACTTCTGCGAAGATAATAGTGCCCATTTGCTTCCCGTCTTCGAGACCGGGCATGCATTACCAGTTGAAGGGCTGCTTTAGGTGGTGGCTGTTCCTTATCGTAGGTAAAGTATCCTGAATTCCAAAATTTAAAAATACAAAGCATCAATCTCTCTTGTTTCTAAAGTAATGCAGATTAAAATATCCAGTTTGTGTTGCCTTACTTGTAACTAGCATTCAAGCGTGATTGCGAGTATTGGACATTCCGATCTGCTGTGGTTTAGAAATGAAAAAGTCTGATACTTTCTATTTTTACACTTTGAAACTCAGGGCATCCAGATGTTAACATAAGACTACGATTGTGCCGGGGCTCGCAAAACAGCCAGGCTCGCCCCTTGTCGTTTTTTTGCCCTGTCACCAGGTACACGAACTCGAAGGATGCCTACTTCGAACTCGATGTTGCCCTACCTGTGCCTTATGTTGTCGACCGATCTACTGCGATCAGTATGTCACTGCCTGTCGTGTCTGGCATGTGGTAAAATACAACTCTGGGACGCGTTGGACCCAAGTTTTCTCAACCAGATTGGCTTCAAAATGGCCGTGGGCTGCATGGGGAATTAACTGCCAAAGTGTTCCACAGTTGCTGGTAGCGCCCGCTCAATAGCTTCTTTCAGCCCTTCCGCCAGCCAGCACCATCAAATATTGATTCCTCGCCTCAATCATCTATTTAATGAGCCGAGTTTTTTCATGTAGCTAATTATTAGGCATAATCTTATCTCCGATTCCCTCATAGGTGCTCCTCAGACTTATGTAGCCTTTCCCTGAGATCTTGAGAGTTCGGTTGTTGTTACTTCGCCAGTAACTATGATTGACTGACTGCAGCCGCTGCGTTGTTCGGCTCTAACTTTGTAACAGACTTCTTGTGCTTCCTAATAAGATCCCTTTCGTTTTTTCGTGAGGGAAGCGGGATCTTTCACTTTTCTTAAGAAATATACTGATCTCTTGTAGCTATTTCTAATTTTCTGAGATCGGCTCTGATCTTTGCTGGCCTTCTACCCCTGCCGCAGACTTAGAGAAAAAATATCCCAGATTCGAAGCCGATATCTTCGACGTTGATTGGCTGCGATTACAAGTCGTCATTGTCGGAGGAGTTGAAGATGGTAAGATTGGGATCCGATGTTCCCTTTCCTCCTGATCAAAGTAAGATTGAAGATAATCTCCTCTTCCTTCCTAACGGTATTAGTGGACTGTGCAGCCTGGGGTTTCATTCACAACCTGAGAAGGTGCTGGAACTTCTTGCCCACCACCATCTCGCATCATAATCTTCTCTACTTTATAAATCTAGTTCCATGCAGAAGCTCTCTCCCTTAGGAGTTTATTTTATGTCTATCGCCCCTCGCTCGGTAATATATTATAGACTCGACCGCCTTCGCATGTTTAACATATACTTGCAAAACCATTCCGGCATTGGGTCATGTACCGCACCTAAATTGAAGGACAGTCGCACATGAGAGCCGTTAAGCCTGGGTGCACTGCGCGGAGCCAGTCCAAACTTCTGGAAGTATTGAATACTGCAGCAGGTGGCGGTGACATGCCAAAAGGTGAGGATGAAGATTGACATCTCCAGGAGCTTCCAACTGAAGCTAGCAAGCAAGAAGTAGAAAGGGCAATTGCAATAGGGAGATTTCCGAAGTCTTGCAAAGCCCTTGCACTGTGCACGGATTTGAAAGCTTCGCCATAGCCAACCGGAGTTTTACCGTGCAATCCGTGCAACGGAGTCCACCTAATATATTCTCATTGATAAATTCCTGAAAATCCTGGTATGCTATTTATTCGAACAACACTGTAGGCGCAGTATGCAGGTAGAAGTTGAAGTAGAAGACGAATGAGTAATGTCGAATTGGGTGAACAACAATTGAAATGAGCAAATAAGCGGCTATTAAAGTACACCAGTCACTACAAACACACTTCAATAAAAAGCAACTCACATCAGTGAGCGCCAGCGAGAGAGATAGAGAGCGAGAGAGGGTAAAGTGAAGCAGTGGAAAAACACAACAACCCAACTCGAACACGGCTAGTAAACAAACCAAGCAAAATGCACTGTCAGACCTGCCTGCTGCTGTTGGGGGAGATTTCATATTTCCGCTGCGGGTTTCAGCCTTCACAGGTAGACGACAGTCGTCATTCGGTCCGTGGGCCAAGTCAATCGGTGTATGCGCGTCTGTGTGTTATGTTACGTTAGCCTACAGGTGAAGTACAGCTGAAGTCGGTAGATCGCATGTTCGCTCGCTCAATTTGGTTCTTTGGGATCCCGATTTTTCACTTCTTGTCACAGACAAACACAACAAACAATAAGTTAAGTAAAGCAAAGCAAAGCAAATGCAAAAAAGGTACATAATCAGAAAAGCCAAACGTAGCGTACACCGGAGCTGTGTGTATGTAAAAATAGAAACCAATTCAATGTACAAATGAAAATGAAGCAGCAGAACGACTAGAATAGCTGCTGAGCTCGAAACATACAAAACGGAGCGGAGCAGTGCAAGTGTGTAATGCGATATTTAAAATATTTATTTGTTTTAGCAATGCTATTGGCTCGGTTTCCAGGAAATAAGTACGCAGATTAATGGAATATTCTTAAATTACATTTTCCGCTCCAAGTGACATATGGTGAATGTGGGAAATTCAGCAAGAATTTGCAAACAGATTTGTGGAAAAAATTGCTAGAGAATTTAAGCATTCATAGAAAAGTGATAAAAGTGTATGTACATACAAATGACCGCCTTAAGCACTTAACATAATTTTTTGAAAAAAAAAAATTATGCAAAAAAAGTGTGAGTAGGTAATTTTGTTTAGCACAGTGTGCTTAATTGCATTTTTACTTTTCTATATTCTTACTCGCTAAAAGCAGGAATATGACTGGAAAAGAGTCGAAAAAATAAACATTAAAACACATCAACAAAAAATATCGCTAAAAATTGCAACGTGTACGCCGAGAATTTAATAGGTTATTGTGTCTTTTGTGCAATAAGTGGAATATAAAATAAAAGCGAAAAAAAACAAAAAAAAAACGCAAAAAGAACCAAACCGGAGGAGTAAGCTGTGTACATACGTGCAAAATATTCTTTCTCGATTTCTTGATAAAGTAAGTGAAATTTTCTAAAGTTTGTTGTGCACAGCTGTGATGCGCTATCTTAGTAGAAAGCTGATACCGCCAGCAATTAAGTGCAAACATACAGATGTGTGTGTATGCAGATGTGCGCAGAATCGCGGTAATTACTAACGAATTTTGATATGCAGACAAAGTCATTTAAAAATGACATATGTATTTTTACATTTTAAATATGTACTCGTACATTGGGGGGCATCACTGTCCATAAAAAAAAAATCTGTACTTTTTTCCATCCGAAATTTAAAATTTATTGTGCTTTAAGATTTCCGCCAAAATATTTGTCAAAATAGCTGGAATTTTTTTTAATAAAATTAGTTTTTTAATTAAAAAAAAAAAAAATCAACTCAGATGATAGAAGAGTTTAAGCTTAAGAGGTTTGCATAGAAATGTAAAAAAAAATTTTCAAAGTAATGAAAATGATAAGATTTTTGGAGGTATTTTCAAATCGGTCTAGCTCACGTAAATCTTAATATTTTTCCGAAATATTTAGGCGGAAGTCTTAAGATATGTATAATAAACTTTATGATTCCGGTGGAAAGCCAACAATTTTTTTTTGGTGATGCACACTAATGTACACACATACTTAGTATACTCGTATTTACTCACACACACCACTTTGCTAAAACAGGTGTTTAGATAAACATGTGGTTCTGCATAATTGCTGTTTGTCATCTGTAATTGCTAATGGAAATGCGCCAAATAAGCAACCCTGCAGGAATATTGTTAGGTCCTTGATGTCCAAAAAATTTCGATAGACTTGGTAGCTTTTATTGTGGAGGTCAAAATTACTTTTTTTTTTAGTAGCCAATAAACTGATAGATTCCAGATCGCGGATTCCATATTCGAAGTTAGAATTTCGAATTTTGCTTTTCTTGGCTCAAAAACTTGAAAAAGTAGACCTTTTGAGGTTCGAAAGAAAAAACGAGTCAAATTGTGAATTCAAACTTTAGATTCCCATTTTGCGCAGCTTTCGGACTTACCTCCGAACGCAGTAGACTTGCTCCGTGTTTTGTAATGTTGTAATATTATATTCTTCTAGTCCGCTTGACTTAAAATTTGATTTGTACTGAATAGGCGGCTAATGTCTACTCCGGAGAGTTCTTCGTGCGTTTTAATAAAATACTTTTATAGGTGTTTAAATCTTAGCCAATGGAAAGTCGGGTAGCTGAGAAGAAAGTGCTGAGATGATTTCATCTCGATGATGTTAAGTCGTACAAGTTCCTATTGATTGGTGAGCTGTTAACGGCTCCTGCCGCATGTTTAAGCTTAAGAAGCTCTTTTAGGTTGGGTTAGGTTGAAGCAGCTGCCTGTATCCTCGCAAGCTCGCCTGCTATACAGTTACATTTTATTTCTGTGACCTGGCCCCACACAATGTGGGTGAAAGATTTTGAAGCTAACACGTTGAGGGCTTTTCTTCATCCCATCGCTATTTTTGACGAAGTTTCACAGCAGTCCATTGACATAATAGCTGCTTGGCAATCGGAGTATACGGCTACGGATGGCAGATTAAGAGCAGATTCGATAAGCCAAAATGCAGCCTCTTTTATGACCCCGAGCTCTGTTTAGAAGACAATGCAGTGATCTTGTAGCCTAAAATAGAGGAATACAGAGAGGTCCTTCGATAGTGTCCCACTCCGTACTCTTAGATTAAGAATAAGAGATTGTAGTTGTTTAAAGGGTATAAAATAACCACGGCGGCTTTGCACCATAGTATGGATTCGTCTGATCTGCTTTTCAATGACTATGCCGCTTAGATCAGGCTGAATCTGGGCGATGGTCTGGGTTATGTTGACTCTCAGAACATCGGCCGATTTCAGGAATCCGCACCAGAAAATATCTAGCGGGTAGTAATCGCACGATCCTGGTGGCTAATTCACACCACGTGATCGAGATATTTCCATACCCTCAGTTCGTGCTTTGTGGCATTCGCTGTGTGAAACGTAGCGCCAACGTGTCGAAACCACATTCTCGTCTTCGTCCATATCGTCCAATCCGGCTCAAGTTTAAGTCTGTGAAAGGCCGTGTTCTTAAGCACGGTGTGGAATGGACTCCTTCGGGCTCTCCTGCACAAGATAAATGCGATGTTCTCGGTCGATCTGGCTTCCAATTTGGCATAAGCCAATCAGTCAGTCAGCCAGCTGTTCAAGATAAACGCAGTTTACGCGATCTAAGTTTAAACTTGCTCTGAAGCTGCTAGTTTTTCACGTTTTGATGGAATAACTTCTTAGCCATCTAATTCCATTTACTTATGGATATCAATATATTGAAATATGTATTTCTATTATCAAGAATTTTTAGTACGCCAGATGTTTCCACAAGGGTCATAACAAATACATATGTATGTAAGATGAAAATGTTTGTTTGTATGCATTAGCGTATCTGTGTTTTGCTGATGCTTCTTCGTTTTTTTTTTATCAAATGAAATGTGTTATTTAGATGCAGTCGAATGAAAAAGCACAAGAAGTAATTGGAATGATTATTTTTTGTACGAATGTACGTACTCATGTGCATGTATCTGACATTCACTGCCAAGCGTCAAATGATTCGTGTTTGATAAACAAATCAAACGCTACCGCAATGACAATTATTTTCTCGGGCTCAAATCAAACACGCCAGTTATGCACATTAGGGTGGCCCAAAAAAAAAAAAGTAAAGTCGGAATTTTAATACTCTCAGCCCCTAGCACTGTTCTGTACTTGAAAAAGTATGCCCCTGTTTTTATTTTTGAATCAAAAAATATTTAGAGGACGCTCGAAGCGTCCGAAGTTTGCTATGTATTTTATATGGGGAATAACAAGATTTCATAGAAAGGGTATGGAATTCTTGAAAATCAATATTTTTCGATCCGAAAACTTTGTTTCTCTTGAGAAAACTTTCAAAAATAACACCCTATATTATATTTAACAATTTTCTATTATTAAATATTTTTTATGGGACCACTAAAAGCTTCAGAAAATGCAATGGGGGTACCCATAAAAAACCACTAGCATTAAAAAATGGTAGAATTAATAGCTGTGTATTATTATTGGTAGTATCCTGAAGAGAAAAAATCTTCCGACCAAAAAATATTGCTTTCAAGGATTTTATACCATTTCTACGAAAACTTTTTTCCCCGTATAAAATACATGGAAAACTTTGAGTGCTTTGAGCGACCTTTAAATATTTTTTCATGACAAAATAAAAAACAGGTGTATAATTTTTTTTTCGGTATAGAATAATTCTAAGGGGTGAGAGCTATACAATTTAGACGTTAATTTTTCACATGAATTCTCGGACCACTCTAGTGTTCTTACATACATATGTACATACATACAAACGTTTGTGGCAGAGTGATTTGCGTATATTAATGAGTTGTTTTTATACCTTTTATTAACATGAAATGGTGTTATAACTTTGGTCCGTTGTTTGTAATTAACAGAAGAAAAAGCGATAGACTCATAAAAAAGTATATCGAATGACGAGCTAGGTAGCCATGCCCCTCTAACTGGCTTTCTATTTTAACACAAACTGGTCTCTCAGTATTCCAGATATACGCTCGAAATTTAGAACATGGGCTTATTTTTGTAATTTATCGGCAGCTGAGAATATGAAAAACTTAATTTTCCCTACATTTATGAATGGTATGAAGCCTTCGGCATAGCCGAGACCACATTTTCCTTACTGGTTTTTAATAGTTTTCCTTTGTTTTTGCTGCCGGATCGAAAAATGTGACTATGAATATGAGCAAATACTATATGGAACTTAATACAACTTGTTCCCGTGCAGTGGCATGGAAGGCAAACTTTTGAGGTTTCACTTATTCGATACAGGCATCCCCTTATGTACATGCGTATGTATGTATGTGCGTATGTATGTATTACACAAATAGCGCGGTGTTTAAAAATTTTGCTTGTTTTATCATTCTTTTTCTTTTGTATGAAAAAATATGAATGTATTCGTGTGTCCTATTGATTGCTTACTGCCATCTTTTTTATGCCCAAATTCGTTGCGCTCAATTAAAGCAATTTATGTGACAACAGCCAATAAATATATCAAGGTGCATGAACTCATCTATTCATTCATCCTATATAGTATTGGTCTTAGTATTACGTTTTTGGCGGCATGACAGATAAGAATATTTAAGGTGCAGTTCTTAGAAAGTTGAGCAACAATTGAAAGTGTTTATTATCGTTTTGAGCTACTTCCAAGAATTTTTAATCAAAATCTATTGCAAAAGAATTTGAACTAGTCATTGAAGGAAATTCCTCGTTGATTTTTCATTTGATTTTCATCATGCATATACATACATATATAAATGTGTATGGATGTAGATACACTAGGGCGCATCACTTTCCATAAAAACAAAAATCGTTACTGTTCTTCCATAGGAATTATAAAATTTGGTATATTTTAAGACTTCCGCCAAAATGTTTTGGCAAGATATTAAGATTTACGTGAGCTGGACCGATTTGAAAATATCCAATAAAATTAGTTTTTAAAAATATTTTTTCCAAAAAATTACCTCAGCTGATAGAAGAATTCAAGTTTAAAAAATTTTAAGTTAAAAGGTCTGCATACAAATTTTTAAAAATATTATAAAACTCAACTATAATAATGCGATTTTTGATGCTATTTTTAAATTGGTTCAGCACACATAAGTCTTAATATTTCAACCAAATATTTTGGCGGAAGTCTTAATAAATAAAAAAATTTACAATTCCGGTGAAGAACCCGCAATTTATTTTTGGTGAGGCATACTAATATATAAAGATACATGTAATGTGCATTTGTGTGATTATCTTGTAAGAAATGTTTCTGGGCGTGGTACTTACATTAAGAAATAAGTAGGTACAGTATTCGTAGAACTACAAATCCGATTAAATTTGATAATTTAGCTGAATCGCTGTGCCTAAAAAATTTAGGTATATGTATGTTTGTATGTGGCAATTAACATTAGAGTGGTTCGCGAAAACATGTTTGCAATTACCCAGAAC